GGTTTTAGGCAGAGAGGAAAGAGGCTACATGTTTTCAGGTTTCATTCACAAAAAAGGTTAGGCTCAAATGGGGCAAAGTTAACTTCACACTCTCATAATGTAGTTACAAAAAGGTATAGTAGCAATTTGGTTCACTCTCACAAACTTTTGTCGAATATCATGTCTTTCCATAACCAATTCTAGTAATTGGCCCAACGGGGCAAGTCTTAGGTATTACCAAGCACATTTTAAAGAAAACATCACCATACAAGGCATTCGACACAATCATTGATCATACCTCTACAAGTAATCTTGTGTGCAACGATCATCACATCAATTATTTAGACAATCAACTAGTTACAACAAGATGCTAAGAGTTCAGACATGACTTATGAAACTCAAATTTGCCTCATTGGACCTGTAAAAACATATAATTTAGTAAAGAGAACAATTTAAGTTATCGATATTGATTGGAATCGATTCTAAAATATGCAATAAAATAGGCACAACATCAACAAATTCAGAAATAAGGAGGTGGATCTAAAACAAACATTTACAATTAACCATATAAACGAGAAGATTTGGACACAAACAAAAATGCATCAAAAACAAAATAGATACGACCAAAGTGTTTACATATAAAGATGCCCACATCCCAGCAAAACATACAAAACAATGTCTTCAATGTGAGAAGAAATAAATGTCTCAAGAATAAAATAGAATGCGAGTCAAGATACCTTGTCAAGCTAAGCTTGAGGTGGATATTTCACATCATAGGCTCTTTAAGTCTGGTCATCACTACCCGACTCATATCCACCATTCCATGATGCCCTACTATAACAAATTATTGAGGTGTCGCAAAGTGAAGCCTACATCACTGTTTGCATCAACACACTGTTTAAATCCTTAAGATCATAATAGGATGCAGACTTATAGACCCCAAGCTCCTCCTTATCCATCTCAAGGGTGTCCGACTCATCTCATTATTAGGTAAAACATCATCACCAAGCGCAGTGGTTGGAGGGATCTTAGAAATTACTGGAACCTCTGTACTAGGACCCTCAAGAAAGTCAAAAGTACCATACAGCAGCACAATGTAAGTGGATTTTAGCTCATATACATCTCGTATCAACCCATCAAGATCAGCCTTCAAGGTTGTCACATCATGAGATTGATGAACACCCTTATCACATGCCCCGACTCGCACTGTGAGTGCATGCAATGAAACTTGGTGTATTGTAATCATCTCTCTCTTTCTCTCGCAACTCATCTGAGATAGCGAAAAGGGATATAATAATGGTTTGGTCAATCATTTTAGTACAACTCCCACAACTCATGAGGCACAAATATTGGTCAAATGGGTTAGGTGGCCCATTTTATGTAGTATGTCCTGTCTCAATAAAGGGAGGAAGGAACCAGCAACAATAGAGGAAGTAGGATTAGATATAGTAGGAGCAGATGTGCCAGGTTTATGTGAACTCTCACCTACCTCAGTGGAAAGAGTATTATCTTCCTCAAAAGTATCTATATCAACATCAAGGTATATTTTCACTAGTGATAGACTACTTCGCTTAGCCTCATCCCTATTGTACTCGTCCTCGATACTCTGGATATTACTAGAGGTACTGAGTGTCACTTCAACATCCTTATTTTCCACAAGGGTCACTCTATTTCACCCGCATAAATCTGTAATGAATACCGATAATGGAAGCAAGTTATTATCCTTCTTGGCTCTCATTGCCATATCCTCCTCCATAATCAAGTAGAGATTCAGTCTATACCAGTCAATAATAAATCCTAACAAAATTGCATATGGGAAGATGGACTCATTTTGTGACGGCATGAGTGTGTTCCTAATGAACACGAACTAGTACATAACTTTCACGACCAAGGAGCACCCCCTAGACGTAACCAACATCATTGTCCTCGTAGAGGGCTAAGAATAGTATCTTAACATTCATCATAATGTATCATAGGTTAAAATGAAAACTTTTTGCATATACATAGTGAGGTTTACATAGAACTCTCCATCTTACATATAGAGAGTTTACAAAGACTCCTCACATAGGAAGATTACTTAGGCTTCACTTTTAGACAACATAACCAATACATAATAACTTAGTCTAATACTTTGTCTAACATTAACGATCAAAAGGAGTAAAATTTTGGACATAGCCAGTACAAGGTCAATATGTCAATATAGGATTACATTAATGCCTCAAACGATAAAGGGATGAACAATGTCTTTAGACAAAACTATTACAAAGCTTGAATGTGAAAAGGTAACATCCCAAAAGATTGAGGACCTAACTTGGACAAATTCTTCAAAGCCTTCATTATTTATCCTCAAGATACTTCAACGGCCCGAACCTACAATTGTATGGAAAAGGGAAGAAATATGGGTTAGAACAAACCACATGTACTTAGTGTTACATTCGAGGAGCACCCCTTAGACGTAAACAGCGTCGTCATCCTCGTAGAGGACCAAGACTAGCCTCTTAGTATTCATCATTACATTTATAGGTAAAAACACGGAAAATGTAGAACTATTCATCTCCATTTATATCATGAGGTTTACATAGACATCTCTCTTACAAATAGTATATTCATACCGAGTTTACTTTGATCCTTCGTATAGGAAGAATACATAATATTTTACTTTTATGGCATATATATATATACAAAATAAACATTATAGTCTTAATAGGTATGTCTCATATGGAACCATCTAACGGAATAGAACAATATGGGCATAGCCCTTACACAAATGTAAAAGTGCTACTTAGGGCTTACCACAATGTCTTGAAACAACATGAATGAAATGAGTGTCTTTATATTATAACAATGTAACATTGGTACAATGAGAAAAGGCATCATTCTTGGAACTTGAGGACGTACCCACTGTTGGAGGAATGATCCAAGCCTTGCTTGAAAATGTTCATGAACCCTTCAACAATCGCAACCTAAAATATTACGGGAAAAGGGAGACAGGTATAAATAGAATGGGTCTAAATCCCAACACGAAAGGGGTCCAAATACTGGCCCATGCAGATAGAAAATCTTTCTCTCTCTCTCTCCCTCTCTCTCTCTCTCTCTCTTTCTCTCACTCACTCTTACTTTATCGTATTTGTTTGTTGAGTATTGTCACTAGTCTTAGGGCTAAAATCTCTAATCCCCCAAAGATGCCACCTCGTTTTAATCGCTTATTTAAATAATTCAAAATATAAATGAACTTAAAATAAAGTTTGTGAATCTCAGTTAGATGATAAAATTAATAATTCCTTTTAAAAACAAACTCTAAATAAATTTTTATCTCAAGTTAAAGGCCAAACATTTTTAGTTGTCAGAAAATGTATTAACGGATATTTTAGATCCTTTAAACACCTTTCTAAAATATAAATAAGAATCCCCAAACTCCTTTAGGTTTTCATCGGTTTTTCTGTTTAATTCTTTTGAAAACTAATTTTTCATTAAAAAAATAAGTGGCGACTCTAAAAAGTTTCAAAACTTATAAAATACTCTTTTCGAAATAAAACAGAATGACAACTCTGTTGGGGATATAGAAAGATTCTAACTTTAAAACTAAAATGTTTGGTTGTGTGTAAATTAATTGTTTACTTGTTTTATTTATCGCACTTTAAACTATTACATTTTCTGGCACATCATAACTCTGTCAAACGACATTTGTTTTTGTTTATCACTTAAAGGACGATTATGTGGTTTTGCAATCATTTGTTAACCAAATTTTTTCTCGGGGTACGCTGACGAATGTAGTTGTCTACTTGATAGTCAGTGGTCGTTAACTATCTCAGCCTAAGTAGCCCGCTTGGGTCACCCTTTCCACTATAAATAAAACCCGCTCCTAGTCAAACTAAGGTCGAGCGAAACCAAATCCCAAAAGTAGTGCATTGGCCTAAGATGACCCAACACCCAAGGAGTGTTGGGCCTATTAGAACGACCGCCCCTAAGTCCAAAGAGCCCACAACTCAATCGGACTATCATAGTCATATGCTATTTGAAGGACGTTTGTGTGTTTGACGAATTGTTGTGTCTCGGGAGGGTGACAATTAACTCTTTGTATATTTTTGTAGATGTCAAGTCAATTCCTAATCTTCAAAATGGTCATCGATACATCTGATCTTCTTCGTGTGTGGTGGAACAACCTCAATGACTATCAAAAGATAGAAATCTCGATTCACTTGGGTAACCTACCTTCGATAATACTCTTCAAGGTTTGACCCGAGTTTATAAAGGCAATTACTTGGTTGTGGGATGGCAAAAGTATGATTTTCTGATTTGAGAATGTCGAAATTACACCAACAATAGAGGAAGTAATAAATTAATTGGATTCCATCGGAACATGTGGCAAATGAAAAAAAACATCCAGATTACCACATCCTGCAACCAAAAGGCGACTAGTCTAGAACTAAATGACATGTTACTATTAGTGAATGCGAACTGATTAGATACTCAAAGTGTACCATTGATGAAACTCTTTGAAAGGTGGGTACATGATAGTTATTTTTGAAAATTTAAGAACGATTTCCACAATCATAGTACTTGAAGGCAAACTTAAATTTTTCAAACAAATTATTTACACTTAATTACGTCGAAAATCATTATTACTCAACATATAAGGCACTAGTAGAAGTCATGAAATTTCTGGGGTGTGTCAATACTCTCTCCCTTCAGAACCACTACACCATTTTAGGCCTAGGGACACATTAATTGTGGACTACACTTTTAAAGTGTTTCCTAAAATACTTTTGGGGACACTTTTAAAGTGTAGCCCAAAATTTTTAACTTTTAGTTGTGATACTATTGGCAACACTTGTAGGTGTACTCTTTAATGTCATAAACTACATTTTATAAGTGTTGATGTATTATATAATTGACAACAACTATTTACATATATGACAACACTTTTAAAGTGTCCTTTTTTAATAATTATAAAAATAATACATTACAAATATTGCGTTTGTATTTTCACTAAAATATTATATAACCTCAACATTTTTAATTCTCCCTCTCATTCCTATTGAGCCAAAAAGTATTTCATAAAAGATTAAAATTTTTGTTTCCCCCAAAAAGAAAATCTCTTCACACAAAAGCTGAAGTGAGGAACTTTTCTGGCTTTGTCACATCCTTTTTCCAATGAACAAGCACCAGAGCAGTGAGCTTCGACCACCAAATCTCCACATAAATCAACACTTCTCTTTTTCCCGTTGCAAACAACCCAGGACCACTAGACCTTAAATCCTTTAACTGTTTTAAGCGAGCTTCACCCTTTTCTTCGGCGAAACCAACTCGTTCCCACTTTCCTTGTTCTGATTTTCCGGCGAACTCCACTATGCCATACAACCATCTAAACACTGCTTTGCCCACCTTTTCCAAAAAGCACACAACAAACATGCCACTTCCCAACTTCCATTTCCCTGCTACTGTCTTTTCCGGCGAAGCTACGATTCCAGAGAATCCAACCCCAAACCCAGCAGCTCAAACAATCCCCAAATACCTTAACCCCTTCAATTTTCCCCCTCAATTCACACAAGGAACACGATTTCCCCCAAGTCATTCTCCTTGTATACCTTTGTGTCCAGTGCATGTATATGTTGCCCAATTCTTGAAGCTACTTGGAGAACTCTGGATTTCATGGCTATTTCCATATGGCATTACTGTTTCTTGAGGGTGCTTCACATTTAGAAACCTCAAATTGGGGAAGTAGCAAATCTGGGGAGAGTAATCTAAAACAAATTTATAGTAAGGCACCCAAACTTTGCAGGTAAGTTTAATTTCAACCTGTTAATATTCGTATAATATGTTCAATTTTTAATTGCTTGAATTGTACATACCCATTAAATAGCTTTAACAATTTATGTACAATTTTAACTAGCTTCAATAATTTTTAACAGCTTGAATAATTATTAATAGCTGCAACAGTACACATCTGTTAATTATATCATCTCGTAAACATTTATTCAACGTCTTCTCTTATGGGAAAATTTCCAAACTCGCTGCTCCTTAATCTGTAACTAATTGTTTATCTTTTGGTTAACTGTTTGGCTCAAGGCCATACCATTTTACGAAGAACCTCCACCTTACCAAGTTGTTACTTAGCAGAAACTTATGTTCATTTAATCAATTATTTTCCTGTGGATTGCTGCTGAATATCCTAATGTTTAGATATTGACATGACTCTTTTTTCCATATAAACTGGTTATTCAGAATAAAATTGAATATACTGTGTAAATTATTCTATGTATGGTTAAGCAAGTCTGATTAGTTACAACTATCTAATTACTTCTTGTTTGATGGCTGTTCTTGTCTCTGACTGTTTAATATATATTCATAATGTTGCATATGCTCTTAACTTGAATATCAAAAGCATGATGGAACTGCCAGTGTTGCTTTGTCCAATAAATGTATGGAGGTTGCATACATGAGGGTAGTAAATTGCAAAAGTATGAATAGTACGTTGAAAGATCTTGATTCTCATATGCCCCAAGGCTTTGTTTAGCTGCAGGGGTAGTACATTGAAAGATGTGTGGTAAGATCTAGACACTATCAAAGCAATAGATGACTTCTACAGTGAAGTATATGTTATAAATTCAATAACTGATCTCAAGTTTCCAGAGCATTCTCTAGTTTCAAGACTTCAATGTGACAGACTCCTCGCAACATAATTTTGTGTACTAATTAATTCCTTTCCTCTATTTTTGAATTAAAATTACTTTGATTGGAATAAAAAGTTAGATAAGATTCCTACACTTAAATATATCTTATTTACTTGAATAGACCATTGAAATGATTGATCAATATCCTAATTAGAATCATGCTTGTGGGGGTACAAACTTAATGAAAGCTTATTTTGTTGCTTGACATGATTGTATCAATTAATTCCCCTTTTTAGATTTACTCATCATTGGGGTGTCTGTATGTGTACTTCATTTCTGTCTTAGAAGTTTCTCTTTGATATTCAGTGCTAATTTCCGTGTGAGAAAATATGGGATTTTGCCTTTTCCTTTCCACAGTTGGTATTTATTAGTCTATACAGTATCTAGTCACCATCATCAAATGGAGTTGCATGACTCTTTCTTGCTTATGTCATACTAAGTTCTTCAACGATAGACGGATATATCTGAAATTTATAAACATTTTCTTGTCTATATTTTCGGTTTCATCTAAAAGATATCTAACTTTCTGCATTTTGACTTAAGTTGTGATCACTTATATGTTTTCTTCAACATAGAGATTTCTTTTTCTGAATTGTCATCCGCAAAATCTGTGAAACTTTTAAGTTTGTACAGATTGTGTTGAAGTAGTTGTATGTGTCACATTTGATGAGCTAGTCAACTTGGATCAGATTCCCAAAGGGGTGGGCTTCAAATGAATCTTTGTTCCTATCCATTACCGTAGTTTATTTCTCAAGTATTTTCTTTTTGTTGTGGGATATCTATTCTTATTCTGTAAGATACATTTTTCTTACAGGTGAGACTAGAGGGACAAACAAAATTTCACTGGCAGCCACATGTATTTTAGTTTATTTGGAAGTCAATTATTTGTTTCTTTTGTATAATCTTTAGCAAAAGAATCATTATTTTCCTTCTAACTCGTGCAGAAACTTATCGTATCATTTAGAATTCGAGGGTTCCATGGTGTTTATAACATGGAAAGAAACGTATTAAAATTTAGATATACTTGACTTAATACATTTCCAATTGTAGCTGATCCTTGTATACAACTCATTTTCCTATCGCATTATTAATTTACTTTAATTATTTCGTTTTAATTCGTGTTCTGGATATATGAAGCTGCAACCCGAGGTATTTCTCCAGTTGTTCCCCCACATCCACTAGAATTTACTCTTTCAGATCCGTGGGATCCTTTTTCATTGAAGCCAAGATCCCTTGTTTCCTCCCCATGTAGCTCAAAAACATCTAAGCTAAACAACCGATCTGAAAATTTTGTTGCTGCCATAGCTGATCTCGAGCTGCTGCAACTCAGTTTTCTAAGAATGGCAATCCCCCATCCAATACAGTCGAGGTAGGAGAAGATTCAACGACAGGAAATAAGTATTGGAGGGCTGAATCATGAGCGAGTTTCTGGAAAATCTTGGTGACATAACTTCATTGTAAGTTAGCTTATCAACAATTATGCAGTTTTTGGAGGTATAGTTATTTATTTGGGGCATTGTTGTATGGTTCTATAATTCATTTAAAAATATCATACGTAAACTGTTGGTCAAAATTCTCATGTCATGTGTATATCATAGTCTCTTCTGTTTTTTATCTTATTGAGAGTTATGAGAAAGGAGAATTCCGGTAGCCTTCTGTTTCATAAAGGAGTAATCCGGTAGCCTTCTGTTTCTTAAAGGAGTAATTTGGTGTGAGCTATAAGGTATAATATGCTCAGGATAAAATGTTTAACTATTTTAGTTGTATAAGACATTAATTATGCATTTTGTCATTGTTCGTGGACTGCTATGTGTTAGGAAGGAAACTAGTTTTTGAAAAAGAGGACATAACATTGAAAAAGAAAGAGTGTCTAATATATTGCAAGCTATCCTACGCGAACTTTTCGGAAAAGTATTTCTTTGTTACAAACTGATTGCATGTAACTAACTCCTAGATCTAGATATATAGGTCTTGGTAGATGAGAGTACTTCTTGATGTCGGTTGAGGACTTTATGAGGCATATTTGTTTTCCAAGTTAATCTTTGGTATTCCTGTTAGAGCATCATTTCAACTTTTTTCTGGTGCATGATATACCCAATGACTTGAATTCATCCTAAAATTTCTAGGTGAGTTTACCATCGTTTATGAGTTGTAACATATCCTAAAATTTGTAGGTGAGTTTACCATCGTTTATGAGTTGTAACATATATGAGTCAATGACAAGCGTGAGGTTATTAAGGCTATATTTGAACATCCACTGCAAATTCAAGCATGGTTTCTCAAACAGAAGAGCATCTTGTAGTTGTGTACATATTGTACGTACGTTTATGTGAACTACTATTGGTCATATCATTTTTTTTAGTTAAGCATAAACACTATCCCCCCCCCCCCCTCCTTTTTTTTCTTTGTAATTGGTTTGTGAATGTTAGAAGAACATTTCAATACTAGTCATTTGTCGGTGTATTTCTCTAATAGAAAAGTACTAAGAGAAGAATACGAAAGCTAATGGATTTGGTACAGTATTATATTGTTCTTGTGCTTGGCATCTGTAGGATTTAGAATAACACAAGCACTTCGAATATTTTTGACAGATAGGATTTAAAATAACTTGTTGGTACATGTAATTGTGGTCCCAAGAAATATGATAGAATACGAAATAGATGGACCAACATGAAGTAGAGAGTAGGTGCACATCCACATGAAAACCCTACGATCCACATGATTGCCTCGATTGGTTCCTTCCCACCACAACCTCTTGTAGGACTTCGGCCTAATGTTGGGTTTGAATATATATGAATGGACGATAAACAGGAAAAAAAATATAATTCCATCTATAAAATATATTGGGAGAAAGACTTGCATTTCAAAGAGCATTTACATATTGCATTAATAAAATCTTAATTTTACTCAAGATAAAATTCTACTTCAAGTGAATAAGCATATTGCATCCTCCAGAAATTTGCACAAGATATGAATTTTACTCAAGGTGAGACTTGCAATCCACTGACAGATATTGATTGCAATACACTTTTGTTACTATTTTGCATTCCTCAATATTTGATTTTTTGATGGATAACATTTTATTTTTGCTATGGATATTTAAAATGTTATTCAGACTAAGTATTAAAATTTTGGAGGCTGAAAATCAATGTGTGTCAGTGGATTGCAATTCTTTTTAGTAATTGAGCGTTTGTAGCAATTTATGCATGTAACGTATGCATTATTATTTATGATATTATATGTTTACTATCATAAATTGAATTCTTTGTAATTGGTAATTTTACTTGAATGTGTAGGAAACTCTGTGATAAATTCAGAATGATCGCATAAGTGAAGTCTATTTACTGAAGTGAACCATGAATACTTGTTAAACAATTGTGATATTTGAATATGATTTTGAGGGAATTAATTTTTAGTGCACATCTTGATATATTGGTTCATTACATTAGCGTGTGCAATACTTGAATCATTTTGATTTTGTGGAATTCGTTTTTTTTTCTAGGGAACATGTTTCTTTCCCAAAGTTTATTGCAAATTTTGTACACTTCAATAATTTAGAGTTATTTATGGTCTAATTTAGTGCCTCAGGTAGCATAAATAGAATAATATTGTCTAATTTGATTACTGGATATGCATAAAAATATAGAGGAATATCAATATTTTAAATAATATTTTATAGCCTAGACATATTACTACAATTATATAGTGTGGTCATAGGGATGACAATTGTGTGCTTTCAGTGTAAAGTGGGGCATGTAAATTAGAAAAAGATGCGCTTAACAAATGTTTGCTTTAAAGGACCGGTCAAAGAGTGGCCTTTTCGTTATTAAAGAGCCAATTCGAGGACGTACTTTAGATCATTTAAAGTGTTGCCATGTTGCCATCTGAGAAGCTAAAAATGTGGCCTTTATGTCCTGTTGGCGAAGCTTTTGAAGTGTAGATTCTTGAAAAGTGTTGCCATAGGACAAAGGTTACGCGTCTTTTGGCCACCCCCTAAAAAGTGTTGCTTAAAGTTCAAAAGTGTAGCCTTTCAAAAGGCTAGGATACACTTTACCGGTGTGGCCATAGGCCTAAAATGTTGTATTGAACATTAGACCCCGAATAAGACTCTAGACCTTTATAAGAGAAGAAAGACTCAAGACTAGCAATCCAACCAGCAACAATATATAAAAAATCAGTCGCAACTCATCGGAGGAATCATTCACTCCTTTCAACATATAATCATAGCAATAACACATAGAAACCTAATCCACGACATACCATAACACAAGCTCAACTTTTCGTATTACATAAGGAGGAACTACCTTATCCATTTCAATATGAGCTCAATATGAACATCAAAGTTGTCATGCTGATTTCTTATCCAAACAACACAAATTATGCTCAATACAACTTCCATGAATACTTATAGCACACCACACACATCAAGTGAAATCCAACCATAAGAAACACATTTCATGGAAAGAAAAAACTCAACGTAAGTATGAATTTCTACTATGATATGCACATATTTAGAAAAACATGATTAATTCAACTTTATTTATAATAGTCGGATAAGGAACTACTAACCTCAATCTTTGCTAGGAGTAAGGGGAAAAAGATGAGGATAGCGGGACTTCATATCGGCCTCGGCCTCCCAGGTTGCTCCCCTCAACAAGGTGGTTCCTCCATAAAACTTTGACGGAGACACCCTCCTTATTCCTCAATTTCTTAACTTGATGATCTAAGATCTCAACGGGACCTCTTCATGAGAAAGGTTCTCCCTTACCCTAAACCTTCTAGGGGAAGAATGGAAACTAAATCACCTATACACTTTTTAAGCATAGAAAAATGGAACACCGGATGATGAATCATGGCCAACTCATTCGGAAACTTAAACTCATAAGCAACAGTTCCAACTCGCTTCAAAATTTAATACAGGCCCACATAAACACAGTGGGGCAAAGCAGAGCAAATTCATGTATCTCATACCACACAACCAGGGGTCTACACCTTCTCAAATGAAGTGCCTATAAGGCTGCCTAGAGATAGTCGAATGGTAGCTATTGTTGTAGGAGAACTTTATCAAGGGGAGGTGGTCATTCCAATTACCCTTGAAGTCAATGACACATTCCCTCAACATATCTTCAATAGTTTGAATAGTGTGTTCGGCTTGATCATCCGTCTTGGGATAAAAAGTGGCACTAAGATTCACCTTCTTACGAATCCCACTTTGGAAAGCATTCCAAAAATGGGAGGTAAATTTAGTATCTCTATCCGAAATGATGGACAAATGGGCTCCATATAACTTCACTATGTCTTTGATGGATAATTTGTCATAATCTTCCGCTGAATATGGGACTTTGACGGGAAGGAAATGTGCGCACTTGGTTAGCCTATCCAAAATGACCCATATCGAGTCATGTTGTCTTCTAGTACGAGGAAACCCCACTACGAAGTCCATGTTAATATCCTCCCATTTCTATGTAGGAATATCTATATTTTGAATTAGCCACCCAGCCTTTGATGCTCCGCTTTGACTTGTTGGCAGTTTGGGCAATTAGCAACATAATCCGCTATGTCCCTTTTCACGCCATTCCACCAATAAATTTCTCGTAAGTCGCAATACATCTTTGTGGAAACCAGATGGATGGAATACCGGGAGACATGAGCCTATTCGATGATTTATTCCCTTAATCCATTCACATTCGGTACGCATAACTTTCCTTACTTCCTAAGCACCCCATATTCTCCTCGAGAGAAAGATTTATTAGACTTATTAAGGATTGTTTCCTTCAACTCCATCAATATAGGACCAAGGTGTTTCTTGGATTTTACCCCAACCACTAAAGATGATTCGGAGTTTTGGCGAACAACGAAACCACCCTTTGGAGAGTCTTCTAGTCGCACCCCTAATAGAGCCAACCTATGAACCTCTTTCACTATCACCTTTTTATCATCAACCACGTGAGCCACGGTACCCATGTATTAAAGCATGAAGATAAAATCTAAATAAATCCACTTGCTAGTATTCCTATGGTGTCTACATAGTTCAAGAACAAGGAAATGTACTTGGGACGCTCTTTATGCCTTCGGAATTATAGTCTCCAATCTCATTTAGTAAAATAGTGAACCTACCTTCCCTACTTGGTAAGTTACACTCCTCACTACGGTAATCAACGCATATCCTAAGGGACACACCCTTCTTCTTCACAAAAAATGCGGGTGCATCCTATAGAGAAATATTAGGTCCAATGAAGCCTTTTTCTACTAAGTCCTTAAGTTAAGACTTCAACTCTTTCAATTTGGCCGGAGACATATGATAAGGATGAATTGAAATGGGGTTTGTATATAGTAGTAAGTGAATACAAAAATCAATTTCTTGTTCAGGAGGGATTCATGGAAGATCATTAGGAAATTCACTTACTACGGCAATTAACTCAATGGGAGTTAATGATATGGCACGAGTACTTCTCAAACAAGTTATTTACACTTATTTTGGTCTTAAATCATAACTATAAAATATACGAGGCTCTAGCATAGGTCATGGAAATTATGGGCTGCTAAAATATCCCTCCTTTAGGAACATTCAACCCTGCACATCATAATGAGTCACAACTCATAGGAGGAATTTCAACTACTTTCACATATAAACATAGCATTAACAAGTTGAGATCAAGGGAGATTGCATCCATCAAAGTTCAATGGAAGAATCGACCCGTTGAAGAAGCCACTTGGGAGAAAGAGGCTGAAATGCGAGAAAGATACCCACACCTGTTTACAGATTCAGGTACTCCTTTTCGTCCTTGTTTTCCTTCTTGTGATCGTTCGGGGACGAACGATGGGTAAATTGGTATCTATTGTAACGACCTGTTTAGTCGTTTTGAGCAGCATACTTCAATTCTGGAAAAACTGGCAGAAACAACGGACCCCACGACGGACCGTCATGGGCACGACAGACCGTCGCGGGGTCTCGTTTCAATACACTTAGAAAAACTGAAAATTGGGTACTGAAATCGACTCTCTGAACTTCGTAACGGAATGGCAGGACGGACCGTCACAGGTGTGACGGACCGTCACAGATTCTTCAGAGAAATTGAGTCTCTGAACTCTCTGACGGGCAGCAGGACGGACCGTCGCAGGTGCGACGGGCCGTCACAGACTGCGAAATTCCAGTCTGGGTCGGATTTCTTGATACGTTTTAAGGGACGTTTTTGACTATTCTTGCCTTAATTATAAAGTTAGTGGGTTAATGTTAATAAGTCTAATTACTTGGGGGTTAAAAGAGGTAACCTTAAGTTAATTAGTGGGGCATTATTGCCATCTTTTATTCTTAATTATATGTTAATTAGGGTAAAAGAAAGAAGGTTTTGAATAAAGAAAATAGAAAGAACAAGAG